AATGGGTTGCAGGGAACACCAGCTGAATTAAGAGCACAACTCAATGATTCATTCCATCGAATTCCATTCTCGGACTTCAGCAAAGAACAGTTTTCACAACATTTTAGCAGCTACAAGCGATTTTTTCACGATGACGATTTGGAATCAATCATTATGCAGGCAACATCAAAGAAAGAAAAAACAATGGGAACGATTGAAAAAATAAACTTTTCTTTTCGTGGTTATTCATTAACACGATGTGGTATATCATTGCCATGTGAATACACTTTTACACTGAGCGACCGATTACGTTTGAACAGACATTATAATGTGATATTTTCAGCCAGATGAATCAGCTCAGCCAGATATCGTCAGCAGCTGAAATTGAGTGGAAACAATAGAAGTGATTGTTATGGTTATAATTACACTTACATTGCTATAATCACTATAACAATCACTTTTATTGTTTTCAATCCATTTCAGCTCCTGACGATATCTGGCTGAGCTGATTCATCTGGCTGAAAGTATCTCTTTATAATGTCTGCGTTTGAAGGAAATACACTTTGCGCAAATCGACACCGTTTATGCTTCATTTAATGTTAACGCTGCAATCACTTTGCGGCGTGTTTTCTTTGAACCATTGCGATTGGGAAACGTTAAGCTCATGCCAGGTGGTGAAGCGAAATTACTTCTTTCAATTCCAACTTTTATCGATCGAAATAAAGCATATGTCCTGAAAATCGACGGTCATGGATTCTCACATTTTAAAATAGTTAATACAAGTATTTTCAAGCAAAACGACGTTGAAATAAATATTTCACCAAATGCTGGTCCAATCATCGGTTTAGTCTTTGAAAGACTTTCAGCCTGATTCAATCTTGCCTGATCATTTTGGAAAAGGACCAAAAAATTACACTTTTCACTTTCAATGCCACTTCTGACTGAAAATAATTCATCAAAAATATATCAAACATTTTATCAAATTAAAAATAAAAGTCCTTCAATCGTATGTGTTTTATTTTATTTATTGCAGTATTTCGCTTCAATTTGGCACATAGTTTTTCGTTTATACGGTTAATAACTGCTGATTCAATAATTTGGCCATACGATTGGTTCGAGCCAATCCAAATAATAAGCGACTCTCGTATAAATGCTTGGTAGAGTCAATCCACAGCTAACACCGAACGATACAATGCCAACAACAGTTGCCACCGATGTTCCATTGTTGGCGAAATATTGCAAAGGTCCCCCACTGTCGCCTTGACAACTAAAAACAAAGTTAATTTTAATGTCAAATTTTAAAATCAAATCAGTCGAATAATGATTGAATTACCTATCATTCCTGCCAGCTGGATCATACGCACAATATTGACCTCCGATCAGGCCATTTCGAAAAGCTGCATCATTTATCGGACGATTCCAATTAAGATAACTTGAATTACATTGTGCCAGTGGCATCGACACCAGTTCCGTTTTCCGTAAAACTGTTGATCTTATATTCTCTTGAATTGTTAAGCAAACACGTTTGTTATTGAACTATTTGTTGGATTTTTTTTTTTAATTTAGCTTACGTTCAGGCGAGGTAATTCCCCACCCGGATACAATTAGTTTTACGTTCAATGGCTCGTCACGTAAATTTATTTGTAAACAGGCTGGCCTTATGTACTGTGAAAATGGGATCAGCTTCTTAATTTCGATTAAAGCAATATCATTTTGTTTCGTTAAGGTGGAATGGCCTGGATGTATCATGATATTCTTTAGGAAGAAATTTCTAATTATTATTATTTGAACTTTTTTTTCGCAATCAAGTCACTTTTTAATGATATCAAACTCAAACCTTTATACTACGATGGATGGCTGTGCTAGTATCGTCGTCATCGCTATCGACCAATGATATCTGTTCAATTTTACAACGAAGAAACATCAAAAATCATTGAATTTTCTGAATAAATTTATTAGAGAATTGCTTACTTTTCCCATTCGAACTACCACCGGTCGTTGATTTTTGACACAATGGGCAGCGGTCATAATAAAGTTGTTCGAAATAATAGTACCACCACAAGAAAAGACGATTTGAAAGGATCGTTCATTAATAAAATATCCCAACGCAGCCTACGGACAAAAAGATGATAACATATCTTGTAAAATACGGAGAAAAATATTCAAAATGAGATGTTTGTTACCATCCATGGTAGTTCGTCATCTGCAGCTACTTCTCCATTCAGAATTCGATCCGCCGAATACGACTGGCAGGCTGATGACAAAAAATATTTGAAAAGTCCACGGTATGAATGTAGCTAATGCTCGAGGTATCGGAAAGTAGAAAAAAATGAAAACGCTTACCTCTTTGCACGGCTCGACCAATGTCTTGTCGAAACAGTTCTTGAACCGCTTTGTTGCCTGAATGAATGTGATTAAATTAAATTTATCCATTTTATTGGATTTATTCCAACTGGAAGATGACACTTACCTAATCTTTTTGCTATGTCTGCAGCCGTTTCGCCATCCTTATTTCTAACATTTTTATGAGCTCCATTATCAAGTAGCATCTCTATAATTTTTATATTGCCTGTTTAAGAATATTATTGACTGTGAATAAGGCCGCGATCAAAGAATTGAAGTAAATAAAATTATGAAACAAAGCTGTAAAACCTTTTTGCTTCATTTCAAAGTATAAGTAACTACCTTTCTCACTTGCCAAGTGAATTGCATAATTTCCCCGAACGTTATCTACTTCATTTACATCAGCCCTATGATCGATCAAAATTTTTACCACATCTACATGACCTACAAATCGGAAAGACTACATTTGGATGTTCAATTTAAATGCAAAAGTTGTGGATATTTACCACGAGATGCTGCTTCTAAAAGTGGTGAACTCCCAGAATTACTTTTGGCGTTTACATTGGCACCGACGGCAATTAAAAGTTCAGCTATCACTTTACCTTCGAGATGAATCAAACTTTTAACAAAATATATCTTATTATTATTTTGAAGTTTTCAGCAATTACTCTTTTGTGGGTCAGGGTTTTGGCATGCGAAAAAGAGCGGAGTCGATTTATCATTATCCTCGACATTCACGTCAGCTCCGTATTCAATCAAAGCTCTAACCACGGAAAGTTGACCTGAAAGTATGCTAAATAGATAAAAATACGGCGATTTTGATCGAGGTTTTAATTCGATGGTGAGAATAACCAACCAAACAAAGCAGAATGAAACAGCGGCGTACGCTTCCAATGATTATCTACGACATGCACATCTGATCCGTTTTGAAGAAAGAGTCTGGCCAATTCCCCTGGTTTAAGAGAGCAAACAAATTAGAAATGATTCACTTAATTCAAATATTATGAAAAAATACCAAGAGCTCTGCTGTCGGGTAATGCATGGTGGCATTGTATGGCCAGAAAAAGTGGTAACCAATTACCAATATCTCTAGCGTTTACATCGGCTCCATTTGCGATCAAAACTTTAGCAACTTCTACCTGACCGTAACATGCCGTTTCGAATAAAGGCGTTCTTTTATTGGGTAAAGAATCTTTAGCATTCACATTTGCGCCATTTTGAATCAGAATTTTTGCCACATTTACACTTCCTGAATCGAAAATAAATTTAATTAAATTTCTGTTGATGATATCAACTTGATGTCATTATGATATTTTACCATGTTTTGCCGTTACATGGATTGGAATCCATTTTTCCTTATCTTCTGCATTTACGTTGGCACCATTTGCAAGGAGAAGTCTCGCTACCTCTGCTTTGTCTAAATGTGAAAATGACAGTGACCGGTTCGCGCATATTTCTATGCTTGCCTAAATACGCTAGGTAGCATAGATATGCCAAGCATAGCCGCAAACGCAACCGA